CAATCTATTGTATAATGAATGCCTGTAGATGAAAACATGGACTTCCTCTGTCAACAGGAAGTGGGAGCTACAGAAGTAGGAGCTACAGAAGTAGGAGCTACAGAAGGAGCACTGGTGAGTAAGTGGTGAGTAAGTGTTAGCTCTGTAATTTATAGATTTTTCTCATTTTTATGCATTTTTTAACTTTTAAAAAGTCGTTTTTATTGCATTTTCTTTTAAAATGAAAATGTTATGAGATAGATGTAAATGTGGAATATCAATTTTATTTTCCAAATTTCAATCTACCTTCTACTTAATTCATAAAATCAAATAAAAAATAATAAAAGCTTGCAGCTTTGGTTTGAATTCTAATTCCTAGTTCAGCCAGATTCAGCATCCAAAGCACTAAAAAATCCTTTAAAAAGGTCCTTTTTATGCAGGTGTCAACAGGAAGTCAGGCGTGTCAACAGGAAGTCGGGCGTGTCAACAGCAAGTCACTCAGCAATGCCAGGCATGTTAATTTGTTTGCTGTACTTGTGTTTGCTTTCTAAAATTAATTTAGTCAGACAGAGGTTAAACTTTCTAAAATTGTTTATATCTAACTGACACATTGATAGATCATGCAATAGAAATGAGGATGCAGATGCCAAATGAAGGCCCCTCCATCCGACTTGAGATCCAACAACAACAACAACAACAACAACAACAAGGATCTCCCCAAGATGCACCATATAGGCATGTGCAGTTTCTACTTTAAATATATATAATTATTAGGGCTGGGACTTTATTGCGTTAATTACGATTAATTAATTACAGAAAAAATAAATAAATAACACAATTAATTTTAAATTTATTTTTGCATTCCAAACAGTGCGTAACGTTGCTCGTTGCGCGAGTTCCAGGTGTGTTGTGCCAATGTAGGTATCCCCGCCAGAAAGTGTTTCCCCTGGCCGCGGGAGCGTGCATTCATTCAGCGAAGGCGTAGGAACAGCGTTGCGCTTGCTTTCACCCAAGTAAATTAAAACTAATAACAATTGCATTGTTTAATTCAATGTTCTGGTGTTGTAATTATCTACGAGGTTTTGCAACATGGCCCACCCATCAAAATAAATGCTTTTATTATTTTGTACGTCGTACTACGTACTGAACGGGAAAACCATTTCCTCATGTGATTTGACATATAACACGCTGTAATTCAAGTCCTGGTATGAAATTTGTCGAACTAAATAAACGTCGATATCCAAAATCAAGATCACTGTGATTGTTTTCTGGCTTCAATTACGTCTATGAAATCTACTTCACTCGAAATGTATTATAATAGACAGATGAAGCCTGACCATCAAATAATTTATTTTATGTGAACTTCAGATACTACTCTATATCCTCTGTGATTATGAACAAGTTTCTTCTCTTCTAGCCAAAGATATGGGGCGAAACATATTATTTCAGACTGTTTACCTGTCTGCCAGATATTGTACCCCCCCCCCAAAACATTTTTTTTTTTAAAACTTCAAAGACAGCAGAGACACGCGGAGCCTGTGGTAGGGCATTCAGACCATCACGGACTACAAGCCCGCGCCCCAGATCTGCAACGACAACATCTCTCTGCTCAACAACCTCAACAGCTTCTTCGCACGGTTTGAAGCTACAAATAACACAAGCCCACAGAAAACTCCACCCCCTCCCCATGATCAGGCTCTGTGCCTGTCTGCTGCCAGTGTGAAGAGGTCACTCTCCACCATCAACCCCCCGCAAAGCAACAGGCCCAGACAACATCCCAGGCCGTGTGCTGAAGGACTGCTCAGAGGAGCTTAAGGACATCTTCACGGATATCTTTAACACTTCTCTGAGTCAAACTGCTGTCCCATCACATTTCAAGGCCACCATCATCATACCTGTACCAAAGAAACCTGTTCCATCCTGCTTCAATGACTATCGCCCTGTGGCACTGACCCCCATCATCATGAAGTATTTTGAACGGCTAGTCATGTCTCATATCAAGTCCATCCTCCCCCCATCCTGGACCCCTTTCAGTTTGCATACCCAGCCAAACGTTCCACAGAGGATGCAATCTGCTCTGCTTTCCACCCAGCCCTCACCCACCTGGACACAACAGACTCACATGTGAGAATGCTTTTCATAGACTTTAGTTCAGCATTCAACACCATAATTCCACAACAACTCATCTATAAACTGCACCAGCTGGGGCTCAACACCTCCCTTTGCAACTGGCTGCTTGACTTCCTCAGTGAGAGGCCACAAACGGTACGAGTCGGCAACAACACCAAGAGCAGCATCACGCTCAGCACAGGGGCCCCCCAAGGCTGTGTGCTCAGTCCCCTGCTCTTCACCCTGCTGACTCACGACTGCACACCAACCTACAGCACCAATCACATGGTGAAGTTTGCGATGACACAACTCTGGTGGATCTCATCACCAAGAACAACAAGACCCACTACAGGAAGGGGGTCAACCTTTTGACCACGTGGTGCAGAGACAACAACCTCCTGCTGAATGTCAGCAAAACCAAGGAGATTGTTGTTGACGTCCGGAGAGACCACACCGAACACCCACCACTGACCATCGATGGTGCTGCTGTGGAGAGAGTGAGCAGCACCAAATTCCTGGGGGTGCACATCAGCGAGGACCTCTCCTGGATCACCAACACTGCATCACTGGTGAAGAAAGCCCAACGGCCTCTACCTCTCCTTCGCAAGCTCAAGCGAGCAAAAGCTCCCCCACCCATCATGTGCACATTCTACCGGGGCACCATTGAAAGTATCCTGTCCAGCTGTGTGGGGCGGGAGCTGCACTGAATACAGCAGGAAAGCACTGCAACGTATAGTCAACACAGCTGGTAGGATCATTGGTGCCCCACTCCCTTCCTTACAAGAAAGCTACCTCGATTGTGAGCGACGCCAGCCACCCTGCACACACACTGTTCAGCCTCCTGCCTTCTGGAAGAAGGGACAGGAGCCTCCGTGCCCGCCTCCACGAGACTCACAAAAAGCTTCATCCACCAAGCTTTCAGGAAGCTAAATTCCATTTAAATTGAAAAATGTTGCTTCTCGTGTCAAATATTGATATGCGATTAATTTAAATTAATTAATTACAAAGCCTCTAATTAATTAGATTAATTTTTTTAATCGAGTCCCACCACTAATAATTATTTCAAATAGTATGATGCTGAATCAAGTGATGTTTGTACTATAATACAATAATGTGGTTTTGTTTTCCTTTTAGATTGGGAGTGCTATGTGGACGAGCATGGGACCTGTGGGATGTGCTCCTACTTCTTATAATAATGATTGTAATTATTTTGATGTACTTCATTCTCATTATTGTTCTCCATCAGTACAAGTACATTTAGCAAGTTTGGGGTCATTAAGATTTTTGTTTTGTTTGAGATGTTTATTTTGGTAATTATGTAAGTAAAAAATATTATTTATAAGATTTTGTTTTTCAATTTGGTTTCCTTTATTAAAACAGTTCAAACTGCAAAAAGTTTATTTTTATTCCCTGATTTTGTGTGCTGCAGAACAACTGTAAAATAAATGTTTTCATCACCCTTCCTGTACAGAGCCAAGGCACACACTGACAATAACAACAACAACAACTACAACAACACTAACAGACAGAACGATGATGTGGAAGAGCCAAGACGCCTGTGTGCTTGTCTGGGGTCTTATAATTATTAATCATGCAAATAAATGATCATGAAATTTGGGTGGGGTTATGTTTAGGGCTTAGGATCAAGGATAGGTTTAGGATTTGGAATTATGGTTATGTTTACGGCCTGGATAAGGGTGAAGGGTTAAGTTTAGGGCTTAAGATCTGGGTTGGGTTTAGGGTTACAAATCATCATAGCCAAATCCTAAGTGTGCTGGGGTGCAGATCCCATCAGGTGCCACCGGAGGGCAGGCGCTGCCCCTAACCTGGCAGCACAAGTGATGCCACACCACATATGACTCAACCTGTAGCGGGTTTCCACAGAGAGTTTCTAAGTGTGTTGGTGTGCAGGAGGATTCCTGATTACAAGTCTATTTGATAAGTTTTTAATTATATTTGTATATGTATATAAGAAATCATGTATCACTTCATCTCTTTGTTCATTTATTTTAATTAATCAACTGTATACAGATAGTCAAGTGAATTTTTGCTCTTTTCAAAGATTAATTGAGCAGGAAGGAAACGTTGGGGTCAAAGGTCAAGGTATGTATACATGTACATATTAAATTGTTTGTTTGTTTCTGACTTGATATATTCATTTTTCATTAATCAACCGTATCATTAGACAGACATGTCTATTTTCTTTTCTTTTCTGGCAGATTGAGATCATGTCGGCTCCCGCAAGTCTGTCTCCCCCACACCAGACCACAGATACTGTTATGGTTTGGTTTATTATGTCTTTGTTGTTGTGCTTCTCTTTTTGTTCTCTCTCTTCCCCCTCCCCTTTCTGTTCTCTTGCAGAGCTTGTGTGGGGCAGGGTGGTGTGGCTGGCTTCCTCCTGTTGGCACACCTGTTTTCACTCAGGCCATTCCCTCCACTTCATTAGCCCGGTCTCTTCTCCGGCTCTCTGCTGTTCTGCTACTTACCCACGTCTAGTTTTGCCTGTGCAAGTCTTCTGAAGACATCCTCCTGCCAGCCAGCTCCTTGCCTCACCTGCCCGTTTCAGTTCCGGTTTTGTTTTGGATAACTATTAAATATCTTCAGTTCCCACACACCAGAGACTGTGTCTTTGCTTTGGGGTCCAAGTCTCTAGAGAACCTAACAGATACCACAGCCTTCTTCACGTGGCCTCCAAGACTCTCGAAGTCATTGGCGAGATTCAGTGGCGCTCCCTCTGCTATTCGATACACCTGAAGGTGCACTGAGAGCACGGCATGCCCCGGATGGAAACAGTGTTACAGAGGCTCCTAAAGGAGATGAAGAGAGGTTTGCTCCTGAAGACCCTGACCTTCATCTCCTGTGTGGCCATCATCCAGAATGGAGATAAATGTGCTTGGGGGGGCGTGTCGCAGGCGGGGTTGCAGCAGCTACAGATCCAGGGGGAATACAAGAAGAAGAAGAATCTCAGGATTTGGAGCCTGCATCCAACCGTCCCCTACAAGGTATGCATTGCCTGGCCTGTCCGTGTCATTTCATAGCACTTGTTTGTGATATGTTATTTGTGTTTTTATATGTTTATTTATTTTGTATTATTTTTGTTGTTTTTGTTTTTTTCCCAAGCACTCCACCATCCCATCCCTGTGACCACCACCGAGTGAGGAGAAGGAGGAGAAGGCCTAACTATAAGCTTTGTCAAAAAGGAAGGTCTTAAATCTACTCTTAAAGTTGAAGAGGGTGTCTGCCTCCCAGACTGAAACTGGAAGATGATTCGACCAAAGATGAGCTTGATAACTGAAGGCTTTTGCTCCTATTCTGTTTTTTAAGACTTAGTAAGTAATCCTGCATTCTGAGAGCGTAGTGCTCTAGTCAGATAATAGGGCACTATGATATTAATCCTTGATAATAATCGCATGAATGCTGGAGTCATACTTAAAAAACTCCCTGTTGTGTGAGACAAAGGTGTCATGACTGTATCCCATAGACCCATATTTGGCCAAACAGGTCTCAGTCATTCTCTAGCCAACTATGTATTTTTAAATAAATTAAGTGTCTCAAAGTTGGGTGTTTTTGCAATAAAATATGGGGAAGTTGTGTGGTCGTGGTGGAAGTAGCTTTAGAAATGACTAAGGGTCTAGAATCTGGTTTGGACATGTAATATAAGTGCTTCCTGACAAGTTCAGCTCATTTGGAGCTATATTGGCCTAAAACTGTTGGAAAAATTCAAATGTATTGCAGATGAAAAGACTGAGAGGCTTCAAATCACCACAGGACTAGAGTGCAGAATCACTGACAAAACTTTCAGCCTTCTAGCTTGAGAGGAAAAAAACTCTCCTCTGGCGGGGGAGTACATTTGGAGAAGTAGTTATCTCACAGTAGTGTTTTCTGTGTATATACATTTCATTATAATCACTATATACTGTCCTCACCATAGCCCTCCAAGGCAAACTGTGATTTGTGAATTTGGTCTATACAAGTTTGATTTGATTTATGCTATGTATATCATTGCTTTGGAAATTAAAGACCTTTCTTTATTGAAATACCTCACAGGAAGTGGATGGTGCTTTGTTTCAAGCAAAGCAGGCCCACTACGTGCAAAGGCTGAGAGAGTTGAGGGCAACAAACCCAATGCCACCAATGGTGTCCAGGCTGGACCTTGACCTTAAGGTCGGTGACAATTTATAATGTACACAGTGTGCCAAGTGCACTTGATTCTGTTCATGTGCTATAAGAGTACAGGTGTAAGTTCTACTGCACCTAGGTGAGGCACCCTTTCTCTGTGGCCTCTCCTGAGGTTTCTTCCATTTCTATTCCTTGTTAAGGGTTTTTATTTTGGGGGGGAAGATAGAGGTCACCCTCTATTTACAGATTGTACATGCCTCTGAGGCAATCTTTCAGTTTGAGCTATCCAAATAAAGTTTGAATGGAGGTCGACACCAGTGACTTGACTTACTTGTTGCAGTGGCCCAGGTTGGTGTATGACTCATAAGTTGCTAAAATGGTTCTCTTTGTTCTCTAGTTGGCCAACTGCATTGAAGAAGGCTGGGTATAAACCAACATCAGTCAAGAATATGCTCAGCAACGCAAAGACCTTCCCCTCCCACGTAGAGCTCTTTCACTGAAAAGAAAACCTCCTGACAGCCACCCGGATTGGCCAAAGACTGCATCAAGAGACTGCAGTCGGACTTTCTGGGGTAGGTGGTGGTTCATAGGCGGGGGGTCAAGAGGAAAAAGAGACATAAGTGAAGTAATAATTAGTTGAAGTTTTAAGGTAAATGCCTAATGGTTTGGGAAGAAAGCCTAGTAAATTTGGAAGCTGAAATTGGAAGGGTGATGGTTTTTCGAAGGAACACTACTAAATCTGGAAGCTGAAATTGGAAGTCTTAAAAGTCTTTTCATTAAACAATTCCCCAGTTTGCAATCAATAAAGTAAATCTTTCTATCTTTCAGGGAAGCTTATTTCATTGACAAAAAACAAAACAAACTGAAAAATCTTCCTATTAATGTCTGCTCAATGTTTGTCATGTGTATGACCAGGGAAACTGGTCAGTGCCTCGGAGGAGCAAACATTCATCATGGTGGCAACGATGAGGACCCCTGCTCTGCTGAGTAAGTATCCTCCTTATCCTTTGCTTTGTTACTGATGGGTTTTTCTTTTGGTGAAGGACAGATTGTAAAGCCCTCTGAGGCAAACTGTAATTTGCGAGTTTGCAATATGAAATTTGATTTCAGTCAAGCTAATGCACAACTTTAATTGTGGTCCCAAAACACCCATTAAGAGTCTCAAGAGCTTTAGGAAATCCCAAAGTATGACAAAGGTAGAAGAGGAGGCTCCTTTCTTGCTTTCGTGGGCCATACAAAAATGGACAGATTCCTCGTCCTTGCGACCATTCAAAGCGCTGTCCAACTCTAGTCAGCATTAACCCCATTCACACACATTCATGCATGTACTGATGGCTATGCCACCAGGAGCAATTGGGGTTGCTCAAGTATGCTTCGACGTGTCCACCATCTTTTCCAGTTGGTGGATGACCACTCTGCCTCCTGAGCCACAGCTGCCCCTAATGAAAGACTAATAATTTTTTTTCTTTTCCAGAGCAAATGCAGGAAAAGGTACAATTGGTCACCGTAGAGCTCCTGCAGGGTTACCTTATCGTCACTGGACACTGGCCAGTGGTGTACTGCAGCCTGACAAAGAAAGAGGTCTGGGAGCGAGAAGAAAAGGAGGGCTTTTACATGGTGTGGGTGAGTTAAACATGATTACCTGTGGCAAGGAAATTTAGTTGACCACAACTAGACTTGGTTATGTCTTTGAAGATATTTCACCTCTCATACAACTTTTATCATCATCATATATGATCATCATCACCAAGTCAAGTTGCATTATTTTTTATGTGTATTTTAGATTGAGAGTAACAAGACCCAGGCCACATATGGGCACGCCCAGATGGTATTCATCAGAGTGCTCGATTGAGTCTACCCAAAAGTGCCTCTTGTTTTCCATAATATGGAGGGAAAAGAGCACTGGAAGCTGGGCCTTCTGCTGAATGCGGCGTGGAGCGACTCAGGACTCACCAGTACTGTGACATTCAACCAGATCCACTCCAGGGTGAGAAGTCAGGTGAGCGGCACCTTTCACCCTAACCCACCACCCTCCACCATCAATCAGGGTTAAGTGTTAGCATAACCTTACTCATGTCTAAGGACCATTACTAAATCCAGGAGCTGAAAGTGGAAGTGTAATGGTTTTTTAAGGGGAACCAAAAGTCTTTGGAAGACTTATAACCAAGTCCATTTGCATTCGATTGAATTTCCCTGTGGTTCCTTTGTGTCGGTCCATGCTGCCTTCAACACCAGGCCAAGCCTCCGGTGCACTTTTCCCTCATTGTTGGGAAATATCAAAGGTATTTTTGAATATGCACTCTAAAGGAGTCTGATGAATCTCCGGAGCCATCCATGCTCAGTAGAATTGAGCACCATCTGGGTGTGCTTTGTCTAAGTCTTATGACTCTCGATCTAAAAAATAGCTTAACAATAGCATAGCATAATTTGAGTGGTGTTGATGACGATCATAATAATAATAATAATAATAATAACTTGTATTTATATAGCGCCTTTCAAAATACCCACGGCGCTTTACATGAGAATTAGCAGGGGTTTGGGGTGGGGTTAAAGGAACAGATTAAGGGAGAGAGGGAAGGAAAGACTGAGTGACAGACTGAGCCAAGACTGATGGGAAAAGGCCATGGCAAAGAGGTGGGTTTTGAGGAATGATTGAAAGGTGTCCAGGGTTGGCTAGATAGGACTGAAACCATGTAAGGGCTGTACCGGTTATGCCAAGGTCATGGGATAGGGATTTGAGAAGGATTGTGTGGGAAACAGTGTCAAAAGCTGTGTAGAGGTTGAGGAGAATGAGGATACTGATTTTGCCAGAGTCTGCAGCGATGAGAAGGTCACTAGTTATTTTGATGAGGGCGATCTCTGTGCTGTGGTGTGCTCTGTAGGCTGTAGGCTAAATTATAATTCATTTGAAAGCCTTGTTCTTAGTCTTTCTCACCCAAACTGGAAAACACTGCAGCCAGTTCTATTTATTATAGTGTACCGCGCTCCTGGACCGTACTCTGATTTTAGATCTGAATTTTTGAGTTTCTATCAAGTTTAGTCCTTAAAACAGATAAAGTAATTATTGTAGGTGATTTTAATATTCATGTGGATGTTCAATTCAATTCAATTTTATTTGTATAGCGCCAATTCATAACAGAAGTTATCTCAGGACACTTTTCAAATAGAGCAGGTCTAGACCGAACTCTTTAACATTAATTACAGAGACCCAACAGTACCACCATGAGCAAGCACTTGGCGACAAGGGCAAGGAAAAACTGCCTGTTAAAAGGCAGAAACCTAGGACAGATCCTCCGGCTCTAGGTGGGTGGTCGTCTGTCTCGACCAGTTGGGGTGAGAGAGAGAGAGAGAGAGAGAGAGAGAGAGAGAGAGAGAGACAGACAGACAGACAGACAGACAGGTGCACAGCAACAACAGTATTGGCAATGGCAGTCAAGCAGGACCATGGCAGGAGGCTCCACCAGGATCCATGAGAACCTGCGAGACGAGAAAGCACAAGAACTCCGGGGAAGAAGTGGAGTTAGTAACATGCATGAAAGGGACATGAATGAGTGCAGAAAGAGAGAGGAAGAGAGTAGCTCAGTGCACCATGGGAAATCCCCCGATAGTCTAGGCCTATAGCAGCATAACTAAGGGATGGTTCAGGACTCACCTGATGTTGACAATGACAGCCTTAGTAATGCATTTATATCATTAATAGACTCAATTGGCTTCTGTCAGAGTGTAAATAAACCAACTCATTGTTTTAATCACACTCTTGACCTTGTTTTATCATATGGCATTGATATTGAACATTTAATAGTCTTCCCACATAATCCTTTCCTACCTATGACCATTATTTAATAACTTTTGAATTCATACTATTAGATTATAAGCCATTAGGCAAAACGTCCTACAGCAGATGTCTATCTGACAGTGCTGTAGCTAAATTTAAGGAGGGGATTCCTTCAGTGTTTAATTCAATGCCATGTCTGAATTTAACAGAGTCCTATAACGACTTTAGTCCCTCTGAAATTGATAATCTTGTCGATAGTGCTACAGGCTCACTACGATCAACATTAGACTCTATCGCTCCTATAAAAAGGAAATTATTAAAACATAGGAGACTAGCACCTTGGTATAACCACCAAACCCGCCAGTTAAAACAAATAGCTAGAAAATCTGAAAGGAAATGGCGCTCTTCCAAATGATCAGAATATCGCTCAAATTGGCAAGATAATCTTAAAATTTATAGAAAGGCCCTCCGTAATGCCAGAGGAGCCTATTACTCAGCACTAATAAGAAGAAGAAAATAAGAATAACCCTAGGTTCCTCTTCAGCACTGTAGCCAGGCTGACAGAGAGTCACAGCTCTATTGAGCCACATATCCCCATAAACTTAAGTAGCAATGACTTCATGAGCTTCTTCTATAATAAAATTATTACTATTAGAGAAAAAATTAATCACCAACTGCCATCAACAGTTACCAGTGGCTCTCCAAGTTCAGGGACTTCTGTCAATGTAAACTTAGATATATATTTAGACTGTTTTTCTGCTATCGATCTTCATCAGTTAACTTCAATCATTTCTTCATTGAAGCCATCAACCTGTCGATTAGACCCGATCCCAACTAGGCTGCTTAAAGAAGTTGTTCCCTTAATTGGCACTTCTTTACTGGATATGATTAATCTTTCTTTATTATCAGGATATGTACCACAGTCCTTTAAAGTAGCTGTAATTAAACCCCTTCTTAAAAAGTCCACTCTTGACCCAGGGGTTTTAGCCAACTAAAGACCGATTTCTAACCTCCCCCTCCTCTCTAAGATTCTGGAGAAAGTAGTCGCCAAAGAGTTGTGTGAATTTCTGCATAACAATAGTTTATTTGAGGATTTTCAGTCAGGATTTAGTGTTCATCATAGCACAGAGACAGCTCTGGTTAAAGTTAATAATGACCTTCTGACTGCTTCTGACAATGGACTTGTCTCTGTACTTGTATTATTAGATCTTAGTGCTGCATTTGACACCATTGACCATAATATTCTTTTAGAGAGACTTGAGCATCAAATTGGCATTAAAGGAACCGCACTAAGCTGGTTTAAGTCATATTTATCAGATCGCTCGCAGTTTGTACATGTTAACGATGAATCTTCAATAAATACTACAGTTAGTCATGGAGTTCCACAAGGTTCTGTACTTGGACCAATACTATTTACTTTATATATGCTCCCTTTAGGCAACATTATTAGGAATCACTCCATTAACTTTCACTGTTATGCAGATGATACGCAGTTATATCTATCGATCAAGCCCAATGAAATTAATCAATTATCTAAATTACAAACATGTCTTAAGGACATAAAATCCTGGATGACCTGCAATTTTCTGATGTTAAACTCAGAAAAAAACGAAATTCTTGTTCTTGGCCCCAAAAACCTTAGAGACTCACTGTCTAAAGATATAGTTACTCTAGATGGCATTAACCACCCACCTAGAGCCGGAGGATCTGTCCTAGGTTTCTGCCTTTTAACAGGCAGTTTTTCCTTGCCCTTGTCGCCAGGTGCTTGCTCATGGTGGTACTGTTGGGTCTCTGTAATTAATGTTAAAGAGTTCGGTCTAGACCTGCTCTATTTGAAAAGTGTCCTGAGATAACTTCTATTATGAATTGGCGCTATACAAATAAAATTGAATTAAATTGAATTGAATTGAATTGCAGGGGTTCGTAGAGCTCATGGTCAGACAGATGTTGGTGAAGCTGGGCAGCCACTGCTTTATCCAGAACCTTGATGAGGAAAGGCAGGTTGGAGATCGGCTGGAAGTTGCTGAGATCATCAGGGTCCAGACCAGGCTTCTTTAAGATGGGAGTGATGGAAGCAGTTTTGAAACTGGGGGAAACAACACCAGATGCTAGGATGGAGTTTATTATGTCAGTGATGAAAGGGCAGAGGGCAGGGAGGTAGGCCTTGGAGTTGGCATGGGGTCCAGCAAACATGTCGAAGCTTTGGCCTTTGATATCAGACCCGAAACTTGTCATCATATATGATGATGACGATGAAACTTGTATCAGAATCAAAGACTTATAACCAAGTCCAGTTGCATTTAATTGATTTCCTTGAGATAACTATGAACTGGATGATGGAGAATATTCACAGACTTGCTTTTGGAAGGAACATTACTAAATATTTAAGCTGTAATTGAAAGCATAATGGTTCTGGAAGTGGAAGTGTCATGTCAGATCCACCCCAGGTGGCTTTTTAATGCTAAAAAATGAAACAAACATAACATTTTGAAGACTAATGTTCACCCTCTGTTTGTCATCTGTATGTGACAGTGAATTTATAAACCATTTCCTCCTTCCAAGGCACGGAGACAGCTGTCCAAGGATGAGTTTGGTCAGGTTGTGGCTGCCATGTGCCATGACATGGCGATGGCAGAAAAATATGACTGTGCTCTTCCGTTCATTAAGGAGGCCATGGAGGTTTGCAGCCTGAGGATGAAAGCCCTCATGGAGGAAACGGTGGACCCGCATCCTGCCTCCACCTCAGACTCTGGGGGTGAGGAACCAATGTATGCTGACAGCATGTACTCTGTGTCTGAGCTCTCTGAAGGAGAGAAGGAGTTAATGAAGATGAGAAGGCGGCTTTTCGGAGCAGCAGGGAGGGAAGAAAAGCAAAGGAAAGAAGGACAAGGGTCAGAAAGATGAGGAGACGTGCCCAAGCCTTTGAATCAGACACCGACCCTGAGTGCCTGATGATCATGACGGATGCAGCGGAAAAGCAGGGATCAGAAATGGAAACATTTTACTGAATAGAAGAGGAGGGGCAGCGTGCACACGGACCAAGGGAGGGGAAATTGTCTAGGTTCCCATCCAATTGAGGATTTGTAGTTAAGCATTGCTGAGTGGAGTGATATATTTTATATCTGTATATATTGTACTTATGTATATTTTAAATCTGTAGATATTTTATATCTGTATACATTATCAATTATTTTATATCTGTATATATTTATTTATTTTATATATTTTGTTGTGCCTGTGCTGCAGGGGCTGTAAGATATGTGGAACTGGGACATTAACACATGCTGCCTCACCTCCTGGAGGTGAAAGGTCAAACTATATAGAAACTTAGTAATCATGTCATCAGAACTTCTCATCTTCTCTGCAGGTTAGAGGTTGTCAGTTGGGAGCAAAAACCTACAGAAAATAGTAACAATATGATGCCTGGAAATGTGGACTACAGTCAGACAACTGAAATTACAGTTAAATGAAACGGCTGCAAAGAGTTTTTGTAAGAAAAGTTTTCATTTCCATCAAATTGTAGGAGCAGTGACAGTACAAAAGGTCTTGCATTGTATAAATAGAAAAATAGATTAAGATTATGATAAAATTTTAAAAAATCTAATAAAACGCTTGTCGCTCACAGTATTTTAGCAAACAACTGTGTTCAAACATGTCCTTGTTCCCACAGGTCACAAACATAATGACCGATAAATTATGAGTCCACCATGTTGCTGTTAAGTGATGGGCTGGAGTCAGCTTTGTTATGACAAACTAAGGCACTAATGCCAGACCCATCAGCCACACACTGACTGTAATTGTCAGCCTGTGTTTGACGTTTTGAAATTGATTCAGTCTCTCGGCTTCTGTGTAGTTCTGGATGGTTTGGTGATGTGTCCTCGGTCTTTCTTGTAGATGGGAATACACATGAGTTTTGCCTTCTCCTGGATGATGTTGGTCACTTAGAGCAGTATCATCACTTGACTTAACACAGCAGAGGGTGGACGCTGCGGTGAGAAAAAGAGAGAAAGTTTACAACACAGAAGAAGAAGACTACTGATTTTGCCTAATCTGAGGCTGGACTGTCACACACAGAGGAGTCATTAACCACAACAAAACATGTATAACACATCTATTGTTTGTGCTGGGATGTAAGAGCACCACTTCTTTCCCTCTTTCACTATGATGGACATTACATGGAACACAGAGGGGAGATCTCAGTGTTAGCCTGAAATAAAATTAGTTATAAAAATCCTGTCTTGAGGCTACTGTCCATGTGATCACTGTCAGACAAAACTCATAACTCTATATTTATAGACAATTTTCATCTTTTAGTACAAAGGGTAAAACAAAGGACAAATACAAAACACTGAACAATTACACATATTCAAGGTTGGGTATTCAAGGTCTAGGTGATCAGTATCCATAAGACAAAATATTATACACAACACGTGGATGTCTTGAACATTTGGCTTTCAAACACAGAACATTCAATTTCGAGTTCTTGTCCACACTTGGGAGTTCTATGCATTACTTTGGATTGTGGAGGAAAGTATTGTCACTTACACAGGAGATGTTTCTCCCGTTGGCCATACTGAAGAGCCCTCCACCTGTCATAGAAGACTGTGTCAGTAGGAAAGCCAGCATCGGCCATCTGCTTCTTGGTTGGTGGCTGGCCAGTCAGATTAAGTGGAAAGGCCTGTAGGAAAGCTGCAAGGTCCTGTTCAGCTCCAGTCTCCCCGTTGTCTGCATCTTCTCTTCCTCGCTCCAGTGCCCGGTTGCTCCTCTCCTCACCTGAATCCTCAGAAGAGGAGTTGTAAGATTGAACAGGTCAAAGGATAAACACTGACAAACACATGCACCAACAGACACAGTGGTCGACTGACGTGCGTTTCAGATGATGGCACATACTGTCTGAGGTTCCTGAACAGGGTGCAGGTGTCCACGATGTTATCCAGGTCTTCATGCAATAGTGCACATTGGCCATGGGTGTGGAATGGGCCATGTAATAAGCCACGCCAGCTTTCTGCTCCTCGTGAACTGGGAAGCCACCTGAGTTTCACAACCCTCCTGATTTCCTGGCTGGTCACATTTGGGAGTTTGCAGCTGCAATGCAGAAGACATCTCAGTTGACTCTCACTTACAAATCTGAATTCTGAACTGTTCACTCAATGTGCAAATTAGGATGTCAATTTTGTCCCATTCTCTCTCTCTCTCTCCACAGTGCATATAGCAAGGTCATTGCTGGCACTCTTAGTGGGCCTACCATTTATGGCCAGAAAAAAATATCCCATCATCATCAACACTGATGTTGATGTAATCAGGGAAGATCCATTGACAGTAGCCCTCGAGCATCTGCAAAGACAAGACATGAGCCAAGTTAATATCTGTGTCGTTAATAATACTGCAATTCACAACGAGCGATTTCAGCCTATTAAAGTACTTACTGCTGCCTCCCCCATACTGAGGGAAAACGTGGGAACATGCATGGTTGCTTTTGGTTTCAGCATGCAGACCTCAATACTGACTACATGTTATACTGTACTGCACGCTACGAAACACTCGTGCAAAGTGTCAGGAAAACACACTTACTGCCATTCCTTCCACTGCATCGGGTGTTTGAAAATAACTGAGGATGATGACGGTGTTGCAGTAACAGCAAAACAGCGTCTTCTCCTCTGGAGCCACATAGAATAGAATAGATTTACTTAATTGATCCCAAAAACTGGGAAATTGTCTTGTTACAAGCAGCAGAAGTATAAACGTAAAAGTGCAGGTAGTTAAAATAAAATACAATAAAATATAAAATAAATCCTAATATATACAGAATATAAAAAATATCAAATATACAGAATATAAAATATAAAAACTATAAAAACAGGAAAAGAGTGAGACTGGAAAAACAATGTGGCAGTGAGCAGGTATGCAAAAACAGGACTATACAGCAGAGAGTTGTGAGTTGACTCTCACAGACAGATGTGAGTTATTGTACATTGTGTTAGCTTGTGGCAGGAATCATGACGACACCCAGGTACTTGTAGTCCTCCACCGCTTCCACATCCTCTCCCAGAACACACAGTGGCTGTGAAGTAGTCCTCTTCCTCCTGAAGTCAATCACCATCTCTCTGGTCTTGTTGACATTCAGCCTCAGGTGATTGCGTCCAGCCCACTCCACAAAGTTGTCCACCACTGCTCTGTACTCCCCTTCATCAACTTATACAGCCGACCACAGCCGAGTCATCAGAAAATTTCTGTAAGTGACATGACTCAGAGTTGTATTGAAAATCTGTGGTGTATAAGGTGAAAAGGAAAGGGGACAGCACAGTCCCCTGTGGAGCTCCTGTATCACTGACCACCGCATCAGACAGGACACTGCCCAGACAGACAAACTGTCACCTGCCTGTCAGGTAGTCAGTAATCCAGGAGACAATGGAGGTGTCGACTCCCAGCACCCGCAGCTTCTCACCCAGCAGCAGTGGCTGGATAGTGTTGAAAGTGCTGGAGACATCAAAGAATGTGATTCTCACAGTGCTGCCACCACTATCCAGGTGCGAATGGGCTCATTTCAGCAGATAGATGACAGTGTCGTCAACTCCCAGATTGGGCTGGTAAGCAAACTGTAGAGGGTCTCGCAGCTCCTTCACCTGCTGCACAAGAGAGCTCACCATAGGGAGGAGAGGGGGAGGGGTGTAAACAGTGTGGGTGAGTGGGGGGCTGGAAGGCTGCGAGCTAAACCTGTTAGAGAAGCCATTCAGCTCGTTGGCTCTCTCCAGACCGCCTGATGGTTGGTTGCCCTTCACTTTACATCCAGTGATCTGTTTCATCCCAGTCCACAAATCCCTCACATTGTTCTGCTGGAGTCTGGCCTCCAACTTCCTCCTGTAGCTGTCTTTACACCCCTCAGCATCTCTCTGAGTTCATGCTGCACTCTCCTCAGCTCCTCTCTGTCACCAGACCTAAAGGCCCTCTTCTTCTTGTTGAGGAGTGCTTTCAGGTCACTGGTAATCAATGGCTTGATACCTGATGTATTCTGTGATGCAGTCTGTCTTGTCGTCGATGTCCTCCCCCGTGTGGCTCAAAGAGTACATCCCAGTCTATTGTCTCAAGGCAGTCCTGCAGTGCCCCAGCAGCCTCCTGAGTCCACATCCTTACTGTCCTTGTGCGAATATACATAAATAACATAAATAAAAAAATTTCAAGCAGCCTCCCATGATTGCCCAGCATGTCTTTCTTTGCCACACACAGGACTTTCTGGCAGTCATCAAGGCTCCTCTGATCCCTGAACCGCACTAAGCTAAGTCACTAAGTCATATTTATCAGATCGTTCGCAGTTTGTTCATGTTAATGATGAATCTTCAATAAATACTACAGTTAGTCATGGAGTTCCTCAAGGTTCTGTACTTGGACCAATACTATTTACTTTATATATGCTCCCTTTAGGCAGCATTATTAGGAATCACTCCATTAATTTTCACTGTTATGCAGATGATACGCAGTTATATCTATCGATCAAGCCCGATCAATTATCTAAATTACAAACATGTCTTAAGGACATAAAATCCTGGATGACCTGCAATTTTCTGATGTTAAACTCAGAAAAAAACGAAATTCACATCTCTGTTACTTACTTCACTTCTTCCCCGGAGTTCTTGTGCTTTCTCGTCTTGCAGGTTCTTATCGATCCTGGTGGAGCCTCCTGCCATGGTCCTGCTAGATTGCCATTGCCAATACTGTTGTTGCTGTGCACCTGTCTGTCTGTCTGTCTCTTGCTCTCTCTCTCTCTCTCTCTCTCTCTCTCTCTCTCTCACCCCAACTGGTCGAGACAGACGACCACCCACCTAGAGCCGAAGGATCTGTCCTAGGTTTCTGCCTTTTAACAGGCAGTTTTTCCTTGCCTTTGTCGCCAAGTGCTTGCTCATGGTGGTACTGTTGGGTCTCTGTAATTAATGTTTTAAAGAGTTCGGTCTAGACCTGCTCTATTTGAAAAGTGTCCTGAGATAACTTGTGTTGTGAATTGGCGCTATAGAAATAAAATGTAATTGAATTGAATCTCTCCTGTACTAGCTTCTCTGCTCTGGCTCCCTTTAAAATGTAGAATAGAATTTAAAATCCTCCTCCTCACTTATAAAGCTCTTCATGGTCAGGCCCCTTCATATCTTAAAGAGCCCATAGTACCCTATTACCCCACTAGAACACTACATTCTCTGAATGCTGGGCTACTTGTGGTTCCTATAGTCTCTAAAAGTAGAACAGGAGCCAGAGCCTTCAGTTACCAAGCTCCTCTCCTGTGGAACCAGCTTCCAGTGTTGTGGTTCGGGAGGCAGACACCCTCTCCACATTTAAGAGCAGGCTTAAGACATTCCTCTTTGATAAAGCTTATAGTTGGGGCTGGATCAGGTGAGTCCTGAACCATCCCTTAGTTATGCTGCTATAGGCCTAGACTATCGGGGGATTTCCCATGGTGCACTGAGCTCCTCTCTTCCTCTCTCTTTCTGCACTCATTCATGTCCCATTAATGCATGTTTCTAACTTCACTTCTTCCCCGGAGTTCTTGTGCTTTCTCGTTTCGCAGGTTCTTATCGATCCTGGTGGAGCCTCCTGCCATGGTCCTGCTAGATTGCCATTGCCAATACTGTTGTTCCT